AAATACAATTTAGTTCAACTACAAACAGAAGTATTTCTGAAGTAATTTGACATATACAATCTTTCAGAAGGAAACAGTATTCAAATTATTATTTGTGCCATGCCAACTGCTGTCACCCGAGTGAGTAATAATAGTTCCATAATGCAAATATTCGAAGAAGGAAGTTCTTTATGTTTTGAAATTGATATTTATGACTTATTACTTCCTTTGAGGAAGTATATGACAGAACGAGTAAAACCTTGTCTGAAAGTCTTCAAAGGCTGCCATCTCCATATTATGGTGGTTAAACTAACTTCATTGTTCATATAAACAGTATACAGACGACTATATGGCCATGGGTACATTCATAGATATCGCGAATTGTAGCTGTACAATAATGCTGATCATTTCAACCATTTTTTATAGCTCAAATTTAGCAGGTAATACCAGTTATTTGATACCGTTTTTACTCATCGTATAATGTAATGTTTACGTCGCGGTATATTCAAATTCAATTCATTTATGTCAGAATGATGCGTATATAGACAGAGTTTAAACAGTTTGTTCGACATAATTTATTCTAAGGAAATTAAAACAGTTATTAAAACGGATTATTCCAAGTTGACATGTATGGAAGAACTTTGACGGTGAAATTATGCTAAATTTATGACTAATGGTGGAGTATTTTAGCTGCATATTGGCCAGTGATTTAGTCCCGTAAAATACCGAAAAAATCCCTCAAATAGTGGCAAGAGCATTGCACCGGCATCGCAAAAGCGTAGGCTCGATTCCTGCTAGAGAACCGATAGTTGATTCATTTTGCATCAACTGTTCCTGACTTGAACTTGAAGTGTGTATAATTCCACTTGAAATTAAGACCCTTTGAACATCTAGAATTTACATTCAATAGGTTTAAGGTTTAAGGTTTAAAGGATAGTCCATTGGATTAACTGTATGTTTTAATATTTCATTCTTTAATACTTTTCAAGATCAACACAGTCTTCAAGACAACAACAGGTATTTTTTACTTTCGGTTTTCGGAATGCCCATGCGTGATATAAACTTAAACCTCGCGATGCTTTGATTGAAGCCTTTTGTCGGGAAAGTTAGCATGAAAAAGGATATTTTTTGAATACCAGACACAAAGAAACAAATAGAAATAATGTCAAACAAAATTGAAATACTTTTCGTTGTCATTGGCACGCCAAAAGGTCCACAATCAGACAGGGGTTTAGAAATAATTGAGAAAAAGATTGCTTTAGAGGCTGTTTACATGAGCCCGGTTATTCGAGATTTAACGATGCGGGAGATAATTTTGAGACATGCACTAAAATAAGTTTTATGACGCTAAAAAAGCACATGCTATTGTATGGATGACTACACCACTCCCGGGTTTATGTTGCTTACTCATTTCAATACCTCAAGTCATCTCAGGGGCTGTTTACATGAGCCCGGTCACCCGAGATTCAACGAAGCGTGAGAGGACTTTGAGGTATTGAAATAAGTCTTTATGACACCAAACAAGCACATGCTATTGTTGTAGTGATTATACGACTGCCAGGACCATGTTATCTGCTCATTTCAATACCTCAAAATCATCTCACGCTTCGTTGAATTTCGGGTAACCGGGCTCATGTAAACAGCCCCTTACGCTTCGTCGCCTCGTTCAATCTCGGGTAAACGGGAACATGTAAACAGTAATAATTTAATTCGTAATCATGCTGATTGGTTGAGAGGAGTTCGATTTTTCAAAACTTCTTAAGAATAGACCGTTTCAGCCTGCATGCAAATTAACCTATTTCAGATGTTGTGACTATGGAATAGCCAATAAATCTTAACCATTTTAGACCATGTGGTATGAAATGGGTTAATTTGCATACAAGCTGAAAAGGTCAATAGGTTCACTGGTTGGACTTAAAGGCCATTTTACAATTGTTCATTGTTTGATTCGGCCCTTTATTTCTATCTTTATTCTTTCCTTTCTTTTTAGAACCTGTATCAGTTCAGCAGCCGAGCCAAAACTCGTCTCAAGTTCATGCTATCCTTTGGTGAACTTCACTCGCTCTTTTTGTGAAAGTTATGGGATCGCGTTACCAAACTACGTTTACAATACCCCCCGTCGCCAAATTAAGGAAAACGACGAGATGAATAAAATCAACGACTCCTTGGGAAGGCTGGGAGAATCAAAAATAACCCGCTGGTTACAAACGAGCATAACAACATATCGAAAATGCATGCATCTTTTTATAACACTTAAATGTCAAATGAATTTTCCGAGTTGTGATCGAACGTCGAGCGTCTTTAGGGAACAAAAACTTTGCCGTGAAACTTGTCTTCAAGTTCGTCATATTTGCCGTAAATTATGGGATGTAATTGCGAGTTATGCGACAACTCGTCGTCGTGATGAAAAAACGAAAAAATTTGTTAAATGCGAACTACAACCATACAGAAACTCTGGTGACTCGCCAGAATGCTGGTACTACGATTTTGTAAACTCGACAGGTATCCTCGATTTATAATTTTTAAAAAATATAATATCTTAGAGGTACAGAAATGTTAAGTGTAATGGACTATTGGGGGACAGGTGAAAGATGCCTTGGCTTGCCTTGAATTTGCTGGATTAATACAACCCCTGGATCAACACGCTTCATGTTTTTTCTTTAAATTTCATTTAGATGCACCCAAAGCACCAGAGTGGACTACCAATGCAGGTAAGCATAACCATTACTGGCGTTATTTTATTACGTGTAAAGTGTACAAATATCGTCTCTACGTGATGATATTCTAAATGAACAGGATGTCTATATATACCTTGTGGCGCTTGGTTGTCGAAATACCGAATCGCTTACTTCATCGTCTTACGTTACATATTCATCCTGTCGACCAGCATATATAGTGGCCTGGCGCGACTAAAATCTCTGGGATAACAATTAACTCGAAAATTTTGCATTGCCACCTGGGGAACGTTGGTCTGGCGATACCACTGGTATAAAATATCCATTTTGTTTAACACTTTGACTGAAAAAGACGGAGATTTTCGTTTTGATTGATTTCGATTGATCGATTATCACTTATCGATCGGTATAGACCACTAGCGGTAAAAGTGTTATTTTAACAACCTCGTATTGTCGCATTCATGCATATGTGTATGACCAGTTCTAACATGTGTCGTGTTTTGCCCCAGGGTTTTGACACGGTGTGACACATTTGGTCAATTTTACCATGGGGAATGTTTCGTGTTGTTTGAGCTATGTAATGAGAGTGGTTTGAGTGCAACACTACTCATATGCTCCACTTCATCGGTTTGTGTTTTTAGATAATGATAATAAAATCTTTCCTAATAGATTGTCTATACTTAAACGGAAGCAGTTACCATGGCAACATATCGGTGACGGCCGCAGGTATCACTTGCCAGTCATGGACAGAACAATGTCCACATCGTCATACCATGAACACCACATATCCAGAATTAAATAACGCCAAGAATTACTGTCGTAATCCCAAGAACTCAGGACAACGACCTTGGTGTTTTACTACAGATTGGAATAAGAGATGGGAGTACTGTGATATCCCTAAATGTTCACCAGGTATCTTTATAATTTTGTAATATAATAAATGTAATTTTGTCTATCGCGATATGTGAAAATACAAAAGAAAACTTTGTTCTAAAAAAACCTTAACCCTTTTTCGCAAGAAAGCCTTCTCCAAAATGATGTAAAACTATGATTGCCCTTATTTTTTTAAAATTCATTTATTGTATCGCTAAAGAGCCTAGCTAGAGAACTCTTCTCAATGGCTCGGCTCTATCGAACTAGTACTATACTTTATTAGTTGACGGTCATTATGGAAAATGGTCGCTGAAAAGTGCGTGTAATGTAACTTGTGGTGAAGGTTTTGAAACATGGTCACGAGATTGTAACAATGATGAGCCAAAGTTCGGCGGAAGAAACTGCAGCCACTTGGGAGAACCTCTTGAGTACAGACCATGTTTAATGAAACCATGCCCTGGTAAGTGGAGCCCACTGAGCTATATAATAATTCCTGGAGGACTTGTTCTTGACAGTGCTCTCGAACAGAAAGTGAAGCAAAAACATGGCGGATTTTTAGCTTTGTGACGTCATCTGGTCCCCTTTGCCTATGGTAATTAAGTAATAATTTCAAGCTTCACAAACACAAGAGTAAAAACACAGAAGATTAGAAAACACGCTTTTAAATACTGCTATAGTATTAAATGAAGACATTGAACATAAGTTTGAAACAATCTAAACAAAATAGTTCTAATTTTAAACGGCATTTAAGCAGCCACAAATAATGACAATTATACACACCCAGTCTTAAAAACATGTCAAAATTCGCATCAGTCCAAAATTTTACGACTACAAGTCCTATAGAAATAAAAAGTTTATAGAATAAAGGCTCTTTTAAAGTCCCGCAAATTTTAGCTTCACGAAAACAATCATAAGGTAGCGTTCGATCCTGCTATTTATTACTGTTCACTGAGCTAGAGCGACTGACGTAGGATAGAAAATGAGTAGATTTGAATGAAAGGTTTCAATTCATCTCATTGCCATTTTCATTTTCATTTGCTATTTCTAGTTAACGGCGGTTATAGCGAATGGAGTCTGAGAATCCCATGCAATGTTTCGTGCGGTGAAGGAGTGGAATTTTGGCGACGTGCTTGTGATAATCCTGAACCAAAATACGGGGGGCGTGACTGTAGTGAACTCGGGAACTCGAGTGTATTAACGAAATGTAAAAGAAAACGATGTCCAGGTAAGAATCAAATCCAGTGTACAAAACAAAAGAGCTATGCAAATTGTGATTGTAAACTATTTGATTGTATCAACTAATAACAAACTTCCTAGTTCTTACTGCTTTTGATCTTTTCAGTTGACGGTAACTATAGCAACTGGACAAAGTCCTTACCATGTAGTGTCACGTGTGGTCAAGGTATTGAGGTTTGGACGCGACAGTGTGATAACCCCCCTGGAAAGTATGGTGGAAATTGTAGCATCTGGGGACGGATAATGAGGCCCGAATATGTGTGACGAAACCTTGTCCAGGTACGCGCGGCCGCTGGGGAAATCCCTAGCACCAAAATAATGCTCCAAGTCAGAGAGCATTTTCCCACATTTATCATTTAAAATATATAATTCTTTTGTGTGTTGAAGAAAGATTTTTTGTATATCATTGTATATATCTGGAGGAAATATGCTTTTATATCAGTGAAAGTTAGAAAAGACGAATGGGACTTGTGTTGGGCCTGAGCAATAGAAAAAGAAGTAAAACGTCTTTGAGTAAAAAGTGTCTCAATACTTTTTAGTTGTAATCGATTCCCGGACGACTGCTTTTATGGTCACTGCTGGGGTGATTGTACTTGCAGTGTTGGTTATTGTTTGGATTTTCTTGAGACGAAATCACAAAGAAAGCCGTAAGATTTATTTATTTCTAAATTGTTTGCATGAGCCATTATGTGAATTCTTCTCTTTACTTGAATTATAATTGCTCGTGCATTTTCTCTCTCTGCCATGTAAAATTTACCATCAGTGCCTCAAGCTCTAACCTCTCACTTTATCGACATCATTTGGACCAACGTCAAATTTCACTACAAAAACTGCCCAACAATAAATAGACTACCTATGAGTCATCCCGGTGATGTCTTTTCAACTTCCAATGGTGATATTAATAATATACGATAATAATATAATATACGTGATAATAATATACGATATTTAAATCTTTTAGACTCATCGTATAGTGCTGTGACAGAAATTACAGATATCCGCGCTTCTCGGCAATCTCAACGAAAGTTCGTCACGTGAAACTTGTACTATTGTTAGGTACGAAAACTTGACCGCTGATGGAAACCCATTTCCAGGCCTCTCGCGCGGTGTTGCCTCTTGTAGTGGGGACTACGTAAATACGCGACCTTCGCGGTACTCACGGTATGATAGACTTCAGTTGTTTCGTTCCTTAGCCGCGCAATGCCTTCGAAACGTATGGGGGAGTGTTGACGAGCAGGGCGGCCATGTCTATGACGTGTTGCAACGCAACGTCGGACAGGTGTTTGTCTCGTACGACAAGATTGGAAACATTGTAATGGAAGGCTTTGATAAAAAAAGACGAGTAGTTCAGCTGACGATACACTTGAAACATCTTCAGCTGCCATGATAGCCGCGGGCACTGAAAATGCCCCGACGACTGCAATCGTTTGACGAATTAGGTTATGTGAATCTTATAGTTTCTACAAGGAATATTATGGATAAAATCGAATATAACATTGAAGTTATAGCATAGGGCAACCCAAAAAATGTCAAATTCAATAGTAATAACATAGAAGAAATATGCATTTAAGCCACAAGGCATTTTGCCTCATGGAAGAAGTGAACGTACATTGTAAAGGTGAATGGGTCAAGTGATAATACAATAGAGAGTTGCCTATGCATACAACAACTGATCTTAGGTTCTTAGGAACTTTATCTTACAAGAATGAAAAAAACAAAGGAGATGATATTAAGATGAGAGAAAAAAGCACTGTAGAGGCGCTTGTCAAGTATCAATTAAGGCATGAAGCTACATGAGATAATAAACATGGTTTGTAGGTTAGGTGTGCAGGTGACGGTTCAGTGTCGTTTAAAGCACTAGGAAATTCCAACTCTATATTAATATTGTTGATAATCTATGAAGATAAGTTATATACCGGGTGTCCCCCCAAAAAAGCTTAAATAAATAATATTTTTATACAGCGTATATTTTGCCTATTTTAGAGACATCCCAAAATGATGTGCCAATTTTGAAAAAAATAAGAAGCAATTTTTTAATCAAACTGGAGTATTTTTTGGCACACCCGGTATACCTATCTCAATAACTGATAAATAACTGATATTTGAAAACATCTCTTCCAAAGCCTTTAAAGGTAGTCTACGTAATCTATTTGTTATATTCCGTAGGTGTACCTGGATCATCAAATAACAGAAGAGCGATCTTAATGCTAAAAAGTGGGCGTTAAATGCATGTGAACCTCTTTAACATCCACGCAAGTTAACCAAGCGACAAATTCTTATATCAAAGCGTCGACCAAGTTAGTGAATCGTTAGTTTCGTCTGTAAATGATTAAAAAATCGTTAAATATCTTGGAAAACATCGACAATCAATCTATATAAGCACCCTAACAATTGGAATATCCTCGGTACGATTCGGCGCGGAAAATAGATATGTGAGTTTCGTTTTAGATCAACCAGAAAATTTGTTTACATTTTTAGTAACCCAATCAGAATGCAAAAATTTTGACTACTTACGGCAAGAAGGTACATTATTTATCATTTTACATGAAGTATGAAAAATTTGGGCATTCTGATTCGCTTTGGCTAAAAATGTAAACAAATATGCCGATAAGTTTAAAACGAAATTCTCCCTTGTTTATAAAAATAATGAAGTTAAGCCGGTTTTCCACTAGCGATATTTTTCGCGCGAATCGACATTTCACTTTTGTTCCAGAGCTCTCAACTGCAACCATCTGGAACAAATTGGTCAAATACAAAGGAATAAAGTCGTTTCGCGCGAAAAATATCGCTAGTGGAAAACCGGCTTTAATAGGGCGTGCAATTTCTCTGATGAAGGCCCGGGTTAACGGACCAAAAGCTTTGCAGTACATTAAATACATACGATGATACGTGCATGGTTTAGCTACAAGCTAATTTACTTGTACTCTGTTTCATTGTTAACCACAATTTAACAACCCAAAATGTATAGATAAGAGTTAATTCCATGCATACAAACATCCCCATTTTGTCAACCGCTGTGCTTATGGCCAACAGCCAGTTGCTTTTCTAAAGATAAACGTGATAGATCAAATACACGGGAAGTATAATAAAAAACAATGCTTACACATTCGAGAATATTTGATATTTTGTGATATTGTCTTTGTTCGCTGATTTAAGCACCACTTCAAGGCTTTTTCTACTCATAATATATACCTTTGCTGTGGCTTGTCAACATGGCTTGTCACATCTTGTTCACATATTATTTAAAGTCTGTTGACTTGCAATGTATATGGGCAGCGAATCAACTGTGATCAAGTCAGATCAACTCAAGCGATTGCAATACTGCATTATCAATGACAGGCTTCGTCCCATACGTACGTCAAAAGTTAATTGGACCAGACAAAATTGAATCGTGTGAACAGACCTTGAAGTTGAATGATGATGAATTTTTTAAATATAAAAGGCTGTGAAATTGACTGTAAATTTACAGTCTCAATCTGTGCCTTGTTTGAATTATATTTTGATTCTCAAGATGTCTTGTTTTTTTCGGAATTTGCTTTTTACTTTACTTTTTTAAATTGTCGGCTGGTCATGGTTTTTTTTTACCCATATAACATTCTTTAGTAACGAAATCTAGACATTTTCCTTGAATTGGGATTTTAAATTGACGTCCGTGAAAAACTACAAAATTGGCAAACTTCAAATATCATTCGAAAGTAAATCTTAAAGGTTTCCGATAGCCTACTAGATATTCTCATGCTTTAATTTCCGCGTCATTGTTACCACTTCAACATGCGGTCGCCGCGGCTAACCCGGCTTGCCGTAAAAGTCAGTGTTTTAAAGTGTTTATATGACCGCAAAAGCTTGTACTGCTTTTGAAAAGAGCACACGTAGACGTAGTCCTTTCGATTTCGTTTATCGTTAAGATCTGTTCACATGATAGAATGTAATCTGTAATCGAAAAAAAAAACTGCACTAGTTTTATAGTTGCTTTGCAGTCCATATATATGCAAGCCAACAGACTGTGAAACATTCATTAGAAGTGCATTAGATCCGACAAATGATATCCGAAACTTTCCTTTGTACATGTTTCCACAACCAAAACGTAACGTCACTGCTTTTAAAAAACAGAAATTTTTATGGCTTTTGCGTGTGCTTTGTATTTGCGTGATAAGGAAATCGTTTATGCTTCGCTTCGAGGAAGTCGAAATTAAATACATGCCCGCATGGAATATGTAAGTATACTTCACTTTGCGGAAGTCAAAATTGAATTCCGTGATGCACGCATGTAGCTGATATATAAGTCACGCGTAAGTATATAGTGAATGATAAGTCATAATAAGTAACCTAAAAATGTTGAATCATATATATGCCGGTGGAACTATTCTAATTCTGACATTGATATTTCACGGAAATGCTGCAGGTAAATTTTGTTATCTTCAAAACTTAATCGGTCATAGATATCTTAATAACGTGCATGCATATTATCCGTAATGTAAACATTAACAAATGCTTTGTTTACATTTTTAATGAATTGCTATACTAAAATAAACACCACATTGTTGGTTTATTTCTGGATCAATGCGAATTAGATTTTATGTTGTGAGAAATGTTGCAATTGGCAAGTTGGGGGGTGCATTCACTCAATGTTTCCTATATTTTTTAGGAGGACGCCAATTTCGGGACGAAATAAGGTATATATAAATATATACGACTCATACGAAAAAGACTTATTGAATGGATTAATTTGAAGTGTAATTCGGGTTAGAATCTTACTATTTATACGAGCTTCCAATTCCTCGCCTTTAGTCTTTTATGGATCGGAGAAATACGTAAAATATATATCAACTAGGCTGAGTTACATGCACGTTTGATTATATCCGGTTCCGTGGAATTCTTCGGGGGTATAAATGCAGCTTTAGCGCCGTTTTCCACTGTTGCGTTTTTTGTACGAATGCACGTAAAAAAGTTAAGTATTCATAAGTATCATTTAAATGATGCTGATGAATTCAACGATTGAACTGATGCATATAGGGTTCGATTCTGTTGATGATTTTGTGTTTTTTCTGGGATAAATTATATATTAAGCTAACAACTTTGAAGTTTTAAGCTTATACGCGCGCGTGTACGTATATATACTTATACGTGCAAAAAAAAGCGACACTGGGAAGAAGCTCTAATACTCGCGCTGGAGAAACATGTAGCTAGAACCGCTTTTTATATCCAGTGATTTGTAAAAATTTGAAACCATATGAAAATTTGTTTTGTGTTTACTTTCGATGTAGGACGTGTATTCCTGCCGAAGCCGAGCCAATACTCAACTCGAGTTCCTGTTATCCTTTGGTTAATTTCACTTGGCCTTATTGTGAAAATCAAGGAATCACGTTACCCAACTATGTGTATATGCCGCCTCATAATCAAAGTGTGGCGAATCATGACGCAAATAAGGACGATGTAAAGATTACCAGGTTCGGAAATAAGAAAATACTCCACTATTTGAAGTTGGACGTGGTCACTTTGAAAATCTGCAAGCGTATGTTTGCGCTAATCAGATGCCATTTCTTTTTCCCAAGTTGCGATCGGACTCAGAGCGTGTATAAAAGGCAAAATATTTGTCGTGAAACGTGTCTTATGGCAATGCATACATGTTTGAAATTATGGAAAATAACCGGGGTCGCAGTTAAACTTAAACACCCAAACATGAAAGTAGACGAACTATTTAAATGTGAACTACAGCCTTATAGAAATGCTGGTGATAGCCCAGAATGCTGGTATGAAGATTTTACAAACTCCACAGGTAAACTTACAGTATATTAAAAAAAAAATGTGCAGGTATAACGTGGGTTCTGATTGGTCGAAGCCCGTCTTTGGATGCTGAAATTTAATTCACCTTTAGAAATGAAACTTGGAACACTACATGGTTGTTGTTATTTTACAAAACAATTACTTAATGGATTCCCGTGTTTGGATGGCCTGATCCAAACACTTGGGAATGTTACGACAGTTAAGAAAAGCTCGCAAAATTGCTCGCCTTTGGCTCGTGTTTCGCGCGCTTTTCTTAACTCTCGCAACATAGTAAAAGGTAAATTTATAATTGCCGCCATTTACCTACGAAATTTCCGGGTGGAGGCCAGGATCATACATACAAGTTCACTGGGCATCCAAACACAGAAATCATGGAGAAATCATAAAGGCAAACGGACGTTGTTATATGGTTACCTGCGTTGGGCGAGGACAATCGACAGGAGTAACAGGGCTGTATGTGGTTCTTCAAAAGTCAAAATCGCCAACATTTTCGTTCCACGAATTCCGAGTTCTAATGGATCAGATGCTATGATTGATCTATCGTAGAAGAAGCCCAGATGAAATTTAACGCATGCGCAATTCATATCGGTGGCTGAAATGACTGAGGAGGGCACTTCATTGCATCGGGTCGAGCTACCCTCACAATCTGTAACAAACGAATTAATATTTTAGTGAATTGAGTGATATTTATTACCTAATTAAAATATTCACGTATTTTAAGAAACGCCAATCGCTAAGTTGGGAAAATATTCCATTTGCTAGAATAGCCTGATCCGATGTTATTACTTACCTTCCCTGGGCACTTAATTAAATTCCGAATTATGTTTTTGGGTGTTTAAAGTAAAGAAGGAAAGTACAAAAGGTTTCGAACAGCGTGCAATTAACAGCAACATTTTTGAGCGTTCTCACTTGTGTTTCTCACAAAAAGATGCAGTTTGAGTGATTCAAAAACATAAAAAATAATGAAAACCTTATGAAGCCTGAAGGCGACGAATTTGTGCACGTAATTTTTTAGATTTTAACGATTTAAAGAAACTAAATGTGTTTAAGGTATTTATGTGATTCACGTTTCTTTTCAGATGAATCTTTAGCCCCAGAATCGCCAGACAAATTAGGTGAGGTATTGGTCCAAATATAAAATATGCAATATCTTACAAATTAGGAAAGTGTCTATTACATGTATGTCTCAGAACACAGTGTCAGTTAAGTAGAAAATACATGATTATAAATTATAAAGCTCACTAAATATGAGGTAGATTTATGCAAAAATTGTTCCTTTCTCATCAAAGCAATCATTTAATTAATTAAAATATTTTTCAAGTCAAGGTTAAGGAGTTTAGCACGACGAATGCCATTGGTAAATTTGGCTAAAATACAATTGACACGTGACGAGAAAGGAACCATTTTTTGCATGAACCTGGACAATAACGTAGTTAATGAGTGGTATTGTACTTAGTGGTATTTAGTCTCCAAACCATGTATATTCTGTTAACTGTGCTCAGAAGTGTTAATCCATTTTTACACTACAGAACGAGGCAGTCCCACTTACCTTTATCATCACAGTTCAGTGGGATAGATTTCCTCGTCCCCTTGTAATTCCAATACCTGACAGTCTCTCTTCACAGATTGTCTTTACTTAAACGGAAGCAATTACCATGGCAACATATCAGTGACAGCCTCGGGTATTCCGTGTCAGCCATGGACAGAACAATGTCCACATCGTCATACCATGAACACCACGTATCCAGAATTAAATAACGCCAAGAATTACTGTCGCAATCCCAAGAACTCGGGACAAAGACCTTGGTGTTTTACTACAGATAGAAACAAAAGATGGGAGTACTGTGATATCCCTAAGTGTACACCAGGTACAGTCATAATGTCATATTGAATGCTGGACTTTCACGGGTTTGACAATAGATAAATCGATTATTCTATCATATGTATTGAAAAATAGAATGATATTTTATGGTATCTCTTTTAGTGGATGGTGGTTATGGCGACTGGAGATTAAAGGATGCGTGTAACACAACTTGTGGGGAAGGTTTCGAAACATTGGTACGAAATTGCGACAATCCTGAGCCAAAGTTTGGTGGAAGAAACTGTAGTCATCTTGGAAAACCAGTTGAAGACAGATCTTGTTCAGCAAGACCTTGTCCTGGTAAGTTAAATTTTCAAATAACTCCGCTAAGCCGTAGCATTATGCATGCAAAAATATATTATGTGGGTGGAATATATTGGTGTGGGTTTGCATGTGAGCACAATGGCTAGTAGGCGAGGGTAATAATTTCAATTTAACACGATAAATCTCGCAGTGTTACGCTAACACCGAAAAGGTGTAGGATAACACCGATTATACTCGAACACCATTTGAGTGTAACACAACACTTGGAAAGTGTAACTCCACACAATGTTAACGTTCCTGTTATTTGCTAACGTTCCTCGGCATAAATACTCTTTTTACACCAAATTTGGTGTAAGCTTACATGAAAATGGTGTCCAGTTTCTCTTTGTCTGGTTATATTACACTTTACGATAGCCTGAATATACAATTATTTAGTGTTAGATATGCAATCGAGCAGTGCAAATCTGCACTTATATTAGGTTCTTGCATGATTCTACCAAAAACATGTTGTACTCCGAACTTGAAGTTGATCCAAATTTTCACAAATAACTGATTAAAGAATTCAAGATTTAAAGACATACACGTTCATTTAATTAAAAAGTAAGTATTATTTTATGCCTATGTGTAGATAAAATTTTGCATCTAAAATGTCAATGAATTTTGTATCATGGTTGGTTGCGTCTAGATTTACTTACAGTGATAAACGTTGATGTTTTGTTCCATGCATGAATATGCTGCAGAGACAAAAGGCAAAATTAAAAGTTTTTATAGTTCTAAATTTATTACTCAAAATCACATATATGTACTGTATTGTATATAGTACTGTCCAGAAATAACTGAACACTGCGGTTGCGGTTCGGTCGCGGTTGCGGTTCGGTCGCGGTTCGGTCGCGGTTCGGTTGCGTTCGACCGATAAAAACCGCAGATGACCACAAGAGAAAAATACGATCACTTGTTAGCGTCATTTTAAATAATAACCGGTTAATTTACATACGTTTGGTGTATGTTCGGATGTAAACCTTTTACATCAAACGTATTGAATAACACTTCGTAGGGTACTTATAAACATCACATAACTATCAATTTATTGGCAATTCATTATGTTATCATTACGACTTATTATGTTTACATTACGATCAATTGATTATGATCAATTAACTATGATCAATTTTTCCGCAGGCAAAAAACACTATTATGGTTTGTTTTTCACAAGGTATATAATTCCCCAATATTTCTCAGAATGTTATTTTACATGGATAGATTTTAACAGCCTCGTATCCAGAATTTTTTCTTTCAGGGATTTCGCAACGTCCATAAGAGATAATACTCGTGTATAAGAGATAATACTCGCGTATAAGAGATAGAATAAAGGGGTCTATTATACCCACTTTTCCTCTTATATTCTTAAATCCCTAGTCAATGGCGGTTATAGCAACTGGAGTGTGAGTATCATATGCCATGTCTCATGCGGTGAAGGAGTGGAAATATGGGAAAGAACTTGTGATAAACCAGAACCAAAATACGGAGGCAGTAACTGCAGTGTTCTTGGAAGCTCAACTGAGAAAAGAAAATGTAACAGAAAACCTTGTCCAGGTAATGGTACAAGCATATTTAAAGCACTCGCAGAGAGATTGTTCGCTAGCGAAATATCTGCACCTTTTTTTGTAATAAGAATAGTTAAGCTGAACTAAGTTATTTCTCTTGTCAAAATTCAACAGAGAATCTGCAAACATTTTCCTAGCAAACTCTTTCTCTGCAAGTGGAAATTTGCCCTAACTTTTTTAATAGAAACTAGTTTTCCCCGGAGCTATACCAGGCTTATATTTGTTATTTTATCCAAATTACAGGACAAAATATTTTACTGTGTGACATGAATAATAGGATACTTATACCTCCTTGCAATCTATATTCAAATTTTTACTCTAGTTGATGGTAACTATGGCAACTGGACGAAAGCATCGCCATGTAGTACCACGTGTGGCGGTGGAGTCGAGGTCTGGATACGGCATTGTGATAATCCCCCTGGAAAGTACGGTGGTAACTGTAGTAAGCAGGGCAAGGATCAAGATGAACGCTTGTGTGAGAAGCAACCATGTCCTTGTAAGCTATCACATGATAACTTTTTTGTCTGGGGTTCAAATGTCAAGTATATTCTTTACAATTCTTACGAGTTGCAAAATTAATATGGACGAGCCTCTTATAATCTTTAAAGGTGATTTGATTTTTACTAGATTTCCGTACTGGCGCTAACCACCGTGTCATAGTGGGTTCCCACCAAAAAATACACTACTAGCATTTAACCAAATTTTTTCTCCATCCAGCCAAAAATTTAACTCGTTGCCCTCTGAAGAACTGCGTTTTAGTTCAGTATTGACATAAAGTAAAACCACGGAATATTATATATAGCTTTTTGGCACTTTCACAGCCATGATATGTACAACTGTACAAGAAAATTACTTTATTCTCATTTATAATGAACATATAGTTTACCTGACTTTTAAAGTGCTGTTTTCGATATCATATTTTTTATTGTTTTCGAAACTTACAATATTTTTATTTAACAGTGAAACTTTATTTATGTTTTAATATTTAGTTGTCCTTGATTCCGGGACGATTAGCATCATCGTTATTACTTCAAGCTTAGCATTCATTACTGCAGTTGCCATTCTTATCTTCTTCCTACGAAAACGATGGCGAAAACAAGGTAAATTTCACTGCTTTGCAATTGTACAATTTCTGTTTTAATTGCACGATATGAAATAATTGAAGGCGCCGCCTTTAAAGCACATTATTTTATCTCAACATACGCAAACTTGAAGCTGATTATTGCCGTATGACAGATTCTCAACGGTTTAATTTGTCTAGGATGTCAACATTATGCCATTTTTCGTTTTTCTTCTCAAAATTCCCCGGATGGTGGGCAACATCACCAATGTAATGATACAGCAGAAGGCGCAAGCTTCTTACAGGGGAATGATACGAGGGATAAATTATATGAAAACCTGACAATCGTAGGAAACCCGGCTCCAGGCCTTTCCCGAGGTGTTGTAGATCACAGAAATTATTACGCCAACACGCTCTCGCGAAGTTCCTTGTATGGCAAACTGCAAGTATTCCGGCCAATGGCTGTTGCATGGCTTCGAAACGCGTGGGGGAATGTGGACGAGTTTGGCAACCATATTTATGACGTCATGCAATGTGATGTCAGACAAGTCTTTGTCCCATACGATAGGCTGGAACACGCAGTGGCAAAATGACTCCGCTGGAAGTTGCGATGCAACTTCTGATCCCGGCTCAGCGCAGGAAGACTCTAGTGAAAGTGAGACGGAGGCAATTAGTTCAATTTACAATACCCTGGAAAGATTTCCAGCTGTGGTATTGCCAACCAGAGCCGAGGGTGTTTAACGAATGGTATTACCTAATTTCTAACAGCAAGACGTTCTGAACTGCCTGTTTATGATGACCGGAATATTACGCAATAATTTTGAAAAAATATACCCACCTATGGTGAATCACAAGAACATATTAATACTTATTTCTCATGTTGAGCGAGAAGCAATTATCGAAACGATTTGTTGTGCTTTTTGTGTAAAATACACTCGCTGGATTTCGAAATAACGACATACGTTCCTATAAATTACTTTATAAATTATAGTTTACTGCCGGGACAGAATAATTGTTGCAATCATTGTACTAAAAAAGTAATATCGTCCAACTTGGTATTTTTCAAATAATGATAGTATATCTCGATAGTAAATATAATGATAGTAAATATTTTACCGAGGTTTCAATCAGACTGCAGGAAATGCTAGCATTCCGTCCTCTGCTGATTTGTATAAAAAATGTGAGTTATTGCTAATCTTCGTTGCCAATTAATGTCTTAGTATAGCCTCCAGCCTTCAATCTGAATGATTGATTGATTGATGGATGTTTGATCATGGGAACGCAGCACTGTTGAGCTGCGTGGTTACGCGCGGCAGACCTAGCCTAACAAGCGGACAAAGCGTAAAATATAGAGATTACTTTGAAGCTTTGATATCTTTAACATGTAAAATTTGCATATATAAATACATCATATACGAAACGAAAAGCGTAAATACAGGAGGTTGTTGAATATTGATGATCGCCAGAAGTGGTCAACTTTCACTGCATTACAGAGAATTAAATTTTGACGTTCTTTGATTTACCAAGACAACTGATTTTATTTCCCAAGGTATTCTGCTCGAAAACCAAGGCAGACAAATCTCGATCATCGATTAAATCATATCATCAATTCTTTCATATTATCAAGACTGCATGGCTTTCCAACAAATCGGTGGAGTTCCACAAGGAAATGTTATTGGCCCTTTCCTATTTTCACAATTAATACCTCTTAAGATTACATTAATATAACTTCTAGGTATAATAATTTATTCTTACTTAAGGCCATGTTACACGATGCAATTTTCAATGCAATGCAATTCTACTTCTAAAATATGCAAAATAGTGAAGTGTATTCAAAATGTGAGTGTAAGAAATGTACATGGAGTGTAATAAACATAAAAGTTTCGAAGTGGGTAAATTTACATCTCTCGAAAGTAGAATGGCATTGCAAGTTGCAAGAAAAATTGCACCGTGCACGTGCAACATGCCTTTATACGCGCGAGAAAATATGCACTACAAGCCTATATGGCTATGCATGCATTACTGCAATTTCATGGAATATCGAGAATTGTGTTTTAAACGGGTGACAGCGCCTTCTGCTCATCGGTTGATTCAAAAAACTGTTCCAACTCTGTTTTAAATATACATAGCTCAAAAACTCTAGCAAGTTTATACACACACAGTTCAACGCACAACAAGTATTTCATTATACGCACAGCAAACTAAATATAGTTGATTGACGAATGCATTTAGACATGTAGACAGTAGCATAAAATTTTGAAATGTAAACAAAATATTTTGCTTTTAAATGTATTTATTATTAAATAATAAAGGAAGTTAATGTTATACGGGTCTTCGTATCGTAGTGTCGCGGGTCCTAGGACGCTTGTCCGGTCGGCTACTTGCCCCCTCCGGTGAGTACAAATATGAGCCCAGTTTGCCTGATCGAGTTGTTAGTTGCTTGCGTGACCCATCCCGCCCCTTTCCCTAACGACTTCACGCGATGTTGTGAACTCTACGGGAGAAGCGTCTTATTAATCTCGCTGGGGTTTGTTTTTTTTGTTAGTTTGTTTTGCAGGATTAAGCACAGTTCTTTTCACACCCGTTTTGGTCGTGGAATGGGTGTTTGGGGTAAAGGTAAATTCATTAATGATCGCCACATTTACAGGTATTTTTTTTTTTTTGTTTTGTGTGTGTGTGTACTTTGATGTTCGTATCGTTTATTCCACGGTTTCACTTCAGTGACTCACGTGTGACAGTTGATCACGGGATGGAGGAGGTACCGTTAAAATAGCATGGTTCGTTGAGTTATTATCTGCGCCGAAAACAGCAAACTCAAAAGAAACACCGTTTCACCCCTAGCCCGACCGTTTCGCTCGGATACCGTCTCCATCCCTACCGATCGGCAGCGGGCAAAAATATAGTGTAAGAGCTGGTGTGCTATCGTACTGATGTGAGCCTTAGGATCCGTTAGAACGTTAAATGCAGACCATACAATGCAAATATGTCATCTGCGTCCAAGGTTGAAAAAATATCGGCTATATACTTTCGTCGTTTACAATCTGTCATATTCTTTCAGCATTACCCTATCTCACCACACATTTATAACGGCAAGGGTCGTTTGCTAATACTTGAGTAATTATTCATTTCTTTAGAAACTGATTGTTTTCACAGTCAATGAACACAGAATTATTGGTGTAGCAAGACGAAATCGCCTGGTTGGCTACCCTAATGACTTTGCTGCTTTCGAAAGAAAACGATGTTTTGTAAAAGAAAGTGACAATCACTGTTGGCAAACTTTCTTGCAAAAGCATGCATATTATTTACATTGCATGCATTGCTTTGCATATTTCGTAATAAGGAACTAAAGGAAGTCGTTTGTGCCAGACACTTTGCGGAAGTCTTTATGGAAATTGAGCTGGTTTACGTAAATCATATGAAATACAATACACTAAAGTAAATGCTGGTGTTGGTTGACCTTTTCTGAACACCCCTCATAGATTGGAGTCGCTTATACGACGGGAATGTTCAATTTTATCTGTGGCAGTGGCTCTATACTAATTCTGGCATCGATATTCCGCACAAATATTGCAGGTAAAGTGAAAGTCAATCACGAGTATCTAAATTTGTGTATATCATTGACATTGTGCATGTGCATGCATTCGGGCCGCCGTGCATCAAGCCGTTTTAGCAAAACCGTGTATTTATAAGTTCAAAGCAGGTCTAAACTAAAGGTTCGTTATTGAAAAACGAGTTTAGTAGTTTTTAAAGTGAATAGTACGACAATTTTACTACTACATATTCAGTACATATAATATTGCCTGCGTATTTAGGTTCATTCATGCGTGAGAGATATTTATTTTAACTGCATTTTGCCGAATGGGCTTCGAACAAATGCCTCAGAATAAATATCGTTAGCAGCGCTGAATTAGCGCCAATTGATGGCATTTTTGGTAAGCCTGACCCTTTATTCATTTTCGTTATTTCTGAAATATTTGACGTACAAAATTCTGAAGAATTGCGCTAATCTAGAGGCCGGTTATAAAAAGGTATATATAGTTAAATACATATAACGTCAGAAGTAGCCAATCAGAATTTTGTATTTTGTATATAAAGCCGGCATTAGGATTAAAACTGGGCTTTTGAACAAAAGGGAACAATGTTTTGCATATATAGCCTTTTATCTCGAACACATTTAACTTAACAAAAATACCCAAATAACAATTGCAAGCATTTATAAATTATAACAATGGCTTGACAATGGCTGGTGATGCATCAGTCTGAATGAACTTCAGCAAGCAAAAGATATACTGTAGTTCGTCTGGGTGTAAACACAGACAAACAGACGGATCATCTGCAACACGAATTATCCGCATAGTTCGTCTATATTTAGACGAATTTGAAGCCCCAGTTACACGATACGGGATTAGTTTCGTATCGGATTATCTACGTTGATTCGATATACATCATTATGGTAGCTACGTATCGGATTTGTCTTGATCACACGAAACCAGATTGATCCAAGTACAAACAAAATGGCGGACAACGAAGGGTAAGCAAAAAGTAAAAAAAATATCCTCGCGTGGACAGACAGTGAATAAATTTTTTAATCGGAAACGTTTGCAAGCGTTTGATGTCCATTTACTTTTCCCGCCAAACATATTATATACCGGATTAGAGGGATTCCTGTAGGTAATATTCGTTCAGACCGGACGGATAACCCGTGTCTAATATAAATCGGGTCAAATTTGCGAATTTATATAGGGGCATTTCGATAAATTGTGTACCGATTCCTCATGTACACCTGCATGCATCCGCCATAGAGTTTGCGTTGATGTCAACATATTTTCTTTTGTTTTAGGTGGCTACAATTTTCATGATGAAGATAAAAATAGGTATACATACGATTTTCTTGCTACTATATCAGAAAGGAAGTCCATAAATTCCGAACTTATATGATGCCGGCGAAATTTTCCCACGATGTGTGGGAAAATGTTTCTCGCGTTTCGAAACCGTTTTACGTGTTCGAATTAATTGAGACAAAAGTTCACGCGATTGGTATACCTGACTTTCAAGTTTAACACCATATATATTCCGCTTAGTGATCCGCAGGGTTGAATATAGATATGATGGACTTTGGATTTTAACTTTGAGATTTGTTCTTGGCAAAAAAAATAAGAATATTTAAGCCTCCGCGGTTGGTTGGACTTAAGGCTAATTTCCACTCCGGAAAACGAGCAGCGGATCGGATCGGATCGGATTTTTTTCCGAGCCTGGTCCGATCCATGAAGTGATTTCGGATCGGATAAAAAAAAGTTAAAACTATTTGAACTTTTTTTTATCCGGTCTCGGACGCTTTCGGATCAATATAAGCCAAAAATTTCAACAGACGGCGCACGCGCGGATTATCTTTCGTTCCGATCCGATCCGATCCGCTGCTCGTTTTCCTGAGTGGAAATTAGCCTTTAGGGGCTGTCTACAGCTCGGTTACCCGAGATTCAACGAAGCGTGAGAGGACTTTGATGTATTGAAATAAGTCTTTATGACACCAAACAAGCACATACTATTGTTGTGGTGATTATACGACTGTCAGGATCATGTTATCTGCTCATTTCAATACCTCAACATCGATAGCTATAAGGGGCTTTTTTATGTCAGACGGAAGTTATATAATCAAACTCAAGTCTTTTTTGGGTCACAACAGAACGTGTATAATCAAACTCACAGCTAGCTTGCACTTAACCTTGAATAGCTGCTCTTTCAAGTATAATTTATAGAAATCGTATAAAGTATAGCGAAAGAATTATATCGGTTTGGGTTACCGGACAAGCTTGGCCCATATAATTTTATATAAGCCTTATCAAAGAATATATACATATAATCCTTATGAAATTATATAATAAAATAAAAGTATACAGGGTGAGTAAAAAAAACCTGACACCTTTGAAATTCAAATTAGCTGCAATCTGTCTGTAATTGTTTGTAATCGGCTGTAATGTGACAGAAGTTGCCTAAAATATCTCATGGGTATACGAAGCATATCAAATAGGTGAACCATTAATTGACCTAGAACATAAAGTTTGTTCCCTTTGGGAGTTGGAATGCATTCTACGCTCTGTAATAAAAAAGAACGTGGAATTAGTTCAATTGGTTTAAACACTATCGCATTAATTATTAGAATAGAATAGAATAGAATTGTACACAATGGGAATTGTCAAATTCCAGCCATCACTTCACGGCTAATTTGAATTTCAAAGGTGTCAGTTTTTTTACTCACCCTGTATAACAAAATCATTTTATTTCTCTGTAATTGTTTTTTTTTTCTTTTTTGATACAGGACGTGTATTCCTGCTGAAGATGAACCCGACACAATAAACTCAAAGTTATGTTATCCATTGGTAAATTTTTACCCGACCTTTTTGTGAAAACAATGGAATCGTACTGCCGAAGTATCTGTTTTTATCACCGGAAAAACAAAATTTTGAAAATGACCTCGCAAATGAAGATCGTGACAAGATTCTCAGGCTCGGCATCAGTAAAATAAGCCTGTATTCCCATTACGACATAGAAACTGTGAACATGTGCGATCGTGTTTATAAGCTTTTCAGGTGCCATTTCTTTTTCCCGGGTTGTGATTGGACGCAAAGCGTATTTAGAAGGCGAAAAATTTGTCGCAAAACTTGTCTTGTCGCGAAGCGGAAATGCTACAACATATGGACATTCGTTAGAGACCTAGTTGATACACCGCAGACATCACAAAAAACAAAAGAACTCTTTAATTGTGAAAAAGAGGAGCCTTATATATCAAGAAATGCTGGCGATACACCAGAATGTTGGTATTATGATTTTAGAAACCCTACAGGTAATACATAATTATTTATTATATAATATGCAGTATTCTATTGACGAATCCGCCATTTTTGAAAAGCGATAATAGGACATGTGCGATATCGTGTTTGATCCACCGATCAGGAATCAGGAAGGGACATAAACTTTTTATATTATTCTCAACACTCGAAATAAATTCCATATTTCCCTGTATCCATGTATTATTCTCTATTTAACAATTGAAACATTACACGAACGCTCGCATATAAATGCATGTATTTATAGCGATTTTTCACTTGATCATGTTCAACGAAAACGCTGTCCCTTGCCTTAAAAAAAGTTTCTAAGAATGCAGACAATGACAGCCGAATGAAGTGCTTTCCTTACCAACCGTCGGGTTACGACAGTACATCGCGACCGTCGTCGACACATGTCAGTGCCCGAGTGATAAATCGAGTAATAAACGCGTTTGTCCACCACTCGACTTTCACACTGAATAAAAAACCATCTTAGGGCAATGAGATAGAGAGAAATCAGTGCGATGTCAATACCTAAACGTCTTTTTTTCTATAAATACGATCAGTGTGGTCACGTAGTGTTTCTTTTCTTCCTTTTTCTAGATGAATCTTCTTCAGCCCGAGAATGGAAAATCAACGCAGGTATATATAAGCGACGAACTTATTAACACAAATCTTTTTACTGCAAGTCTAAAGTCTTAAAAGCGATTTATACCACGCGATTTGTCGTATACGATTCGTATCCTGGCGTATGTGAACGTATGAAGACACGTACAAACGTGACACTTTAAATTCCACTCTGAGCAATATGAATAAAGATTGTGGCACATGCCCTCTTTTGCATCCGTTAGAATGATAATTGCATTTTAACTTATCGTGTAGTCTATAAAGAGGGCTTAAGAAATATGCCATAACGGTATAGCTACTATTAAGTTAACAGCGATCTTCGCACACAGATTGTCTATACTTAAACGGGAGCAGTTACCATGGCAACATATCAGTGACAGACTCGGGTACTCCGTGTCAGTCATGGACGGAACAATGTCCACATCGTCATACCATGAACACCACATATCCAGAATTAAATAACGCCAAGAATTACTGTCGTAATCCCAAGAACTCAGGAAAACGACCTTGGTGTTTTACCACAGATAGAAACAAAAGATGGGAGTACTGTGATATCCCTAAGTGTATACCAGGTACCGTCATGATATGATATCTTTTATGCCAACATTGGTACACAAATTACATCAAGGTTTATAGCATCAAGAAAACGATTGAATTTCACCGGTAATGCCCCGAAAACACGAATCTTGTTACATAAATACCTTTGGGAATACCTTTATACAATAATTAGCCAATGTGACTTCATATCAAGATATTCCTGCAGGATAGTTCGACCCCCTCGAGTGCTACTGGTTTTAAAACAAAGTTTCGGACTAGACTGGCAAATCTAAACAGTAAATATTCAAATAGTAATAATCTTCAAACATTTTAACTGTGCAGACATTGTTTTTACGATGATTACTAGAAATTCTACCCATATTTATAATTAATTATTATATCACAAGTCGCAGTCGTTTGAATGATGAATATAAGGGTAACAATGATGTCATTAGATTGATCGTATTGTATTAATGTATTCTACTGGCTTTAGTTGATGGTGGTTATAGCAACTGGACAATAAAAAGTGCATGTAGTGTGACATGCGGTGAAGGTTTACAAACATGGACACGAGTTTGTAAGAATCCTGAGCCAAAGTTTGGTGGAAGAGATTGCAGTCATTTTGGAGAGAGAGATGAATATAGGCCTTGTTTCGTGAAACCTTGTATCGGTGAGTGAAATTATTTCCTGACGTTCAAATTCTGCTGTTCGAAGTTCACGGGTTTTTATAACAAATCAATTAAAGCAAGGTTCCCGTTGCTGTAATGTTCACACTTATTAGTTCTCATAAAGTATTTATAAATATTTCTTGCCGGTAGTGAAAAACATTGGACGCTATCCATTAAGTGGCCAAAGTGGTCAGACCTATAATATTTTGACTGAATTGAATATTTCCTGAAGAATACAGCAGTGAAACTGCATTTTTCGTGCTAGGCAGATGTAAATAACGATCTGTAACCGTCAGTACTGAAATAAATCGGGACCGCCTGGCGTTTTTACTGAAAAAAGGAAAGCTTCAAAATTTACTTATAGTGATGCATTGCGTGCATGCGTCGAGTTTCTAAGTTTAAGCGTCTAAGCTTATACGAGTTCACGTACGCCGAAAGAGTGGCGTAAGTTGAAGAGTTACGCCTGTATTCTAAAAGCTCACTCACACTCAAACTCATTGAGTGGGAGATCTTAATCCTCTCCTAAGGTTTCAATGGCGGTATTTCGAGCCGAATAGGGGCTTGATTTTCAGTGATTTACCTTATATCTTTCCATCTATTCAGAGAAAACTTTCTCATTGATCAGCATTAACAAAATTCATCTGTCACACTCCATGAGTGTGAGTGTGAGTGAGCTTTTTGAATACAGGTGTTAGACTTTGATTAGCTAGGCTGCAATTGATGATCCCTTTCTGTTTAGCGTTCACGGTTTTACCTAACATGGGGAAAGAGTGATCTTGATTAAAAGTCTTGAGACAGGAGTGTCCAACCTGGGCGGTATATAGTTGAATAAGCTATATGCATGAATATTCCTTCTTTGCTTTATATTTGTCTAGTTAATGGCGGTTTTAGCACATGGAGTTTGAGTATCCCTTGCAATGTTTCGTGCGGTGGAGGAGTTGAAATATGGAAGCGTAGTTGTGATAATCCAGAACCAAAATACGGAGGCAGAAACTGTAGTAGGCTGGGAAACTCGATGGAATTGAGGAGCTGTAACACAATGCCTTGCCCTAGTAAGGATGAAATTACTTTACTGAATGTTTTGTCTGATACAAGGCGGGATAATTAAGGAATCAAAAGTGACCAAAAGTGGTGCACAAATTTATAGGCTTTTGCCGAGCTCGACGGCCTATTTATGCAGATACTTTTGCTACGGTAGCTAATCAACGTTTATTGTGCTTTTAGCAGCACTTGTCCTTGCATGATTCTGACCCAGGGTGTTTCCAAGTTACGATATACTTAGCTACAACTTTGCAAAAGTGGAAAGTGCTAGGAATTGTTCTATATCAAAACCACTTATGACTTCACTTTGCAATTTTCATGCCAAACAAACTCAGCTGATTAGTGGCCGCTTGATGAATATTTAAAAAAAACTGGATGAAGCAATACACTTGTTCCAATTTCGAAAGCCTGTAATATTATATTTGAAATTATCACGCATAAAAATAAAAGGAAGAATTGGTGTTTAATATAAAGTTTGAGCATCAAATATCAACGTCCAGTAGTTTCCGCGGAATTGCAACATTGTCGTTGGGCTAAAATGAGAAGATTGAAACTAACATTACGTTGATGTAACAACGTTCGTTGTTTTATCGTCCAATGGAATGCGTTCCATTGCACTCTCCAGAGTGCAATTGCACTACACATTTTTTTCTATTGAACTCTTTATATGCTTTAAGTAAATATCATCCGTTAAAATGCTTCTCGCAACCGTGGTCGCAATTTATTTACATTTCTCAACTTATTGAAGATTCAGACGCTGAAAATACGAGAAAGACAAAGCTATCGCCTTGTTGAATGGAACATTTCATCTTTCACATCGTGAAAACATTTTTACTATTGCACTCGTCTAGTATCGAATTTCAAATACTTTTCTTATATAGTTGACGGTAACTATAGTAACTGGACGAGGGCGTCGCCATGTAGCGTCACGTGTGGTGAAGGAGTCGAAGTGTGGATACGAGAATGCGATAACCCTCCTGGCGAATACGGCGGTAATTGCAGTAAGCAGGGACCAGACCAAGAAAGACGCTCATGCAGGAATGAAGCTTGTCCAGGTGAACTATCATACGATTATATTTTATCATACAGTATTTCATTGTATAAGATCGAAAACAAAAGAAAAAAACTCACGAAAGGTAAGAATTCCACTTTGCTGTCCATCTTAATTGCTATGTATTTGATCTTGGTATACTGAAAAACGAAACTATACAACCCACAGCGAGATGTAAACTTGAATAACAATAAGTTTTTCCTATGAGCAAACAAGGCACTCAAACAAGGCATTTTTGAAGCTGAAGCTGAGTTTTCCTGTGAAAAATTTTAGTTTCTTCCGAAGAGATTGGTGTTATTGCCATTGTTGCAAGTTTTTTACTCGTTGCTGCGATTACAATTTTTTCTTTCTGCGAAAACGACGGCGAAAACGAGGTGAGTTTATTTTCTTTGCATTTGTGCAGTTTCTGGAGAATAATAAATAACAATTATTAGATGAAGCTGAGTGTGATCGAGAATTATCAAACCGAAGTTTGCGTTATTGAACTGAGGCTCGATAATTCTCGATATCATGCAAAAACCGAATTCAATAAATGTTTTATTATGTATTTCCTTTTAAGAGAGGAAGCCTGCGCCATTATTGACAACAAACTAGCGGCAAAAACTTACGTCACCTACGGATAATTTTCAATGTCGCGTAGGTGGCATGACATTGAGAATTTTCAGTAGGTTTTTAGCCAATCACAATCACAATCGAAATTGCATTAGTAATGCATAATAATAATAATTATTAACATTTATTGAATGAGGCTTGATAATCTTCATTAGCTAGACACTGCATGAGACACAACTCAAAAAACCAAAGGAAGTAAACACCCCATTCGCAGATATAAAATCACATGATAATATATTAATATATTATGTTTCCCAACCGTCAGTTTCCAGTCGAAAACTACATCTGTATATACCGTATGATCTGGACATTTCTATTGAGTTTCCTGACATTTGGTAAAGGCTGGTTTCTAGCCAGAAAATTATCCCCTGGTCAGGGACGAACATTATGGTTTGAGTTTAAGACTATTAGTTTTGGTTGAAAACATAAGAATAAACGAAACTTTGGAAATCAACCTTGAACATTGACTAAGGGCCTGTTTACATGAGCCCGGTTACCCGAGATTCAACGAAGCGTGAGATGATTTTGAGGTATTGAAATGAGCAGATAACATGATCCTGGCAGTCGTGTAATCACCACAACAATAGCATGTGCTATTTTGGTGCCATAAAGACTTATTTCAATATCTCAAAGTCCTCTCACGCTTCTTTGAATCTCGGGTAACCGGGCTCATGTAAACAGCCCCTAACTCAGTAAACTCTTAATCAATGACAGGATTTGAACAATTAAAACACGTATTAATTTTGGAGTCAGTACGATTTAACCTCCTCAAACGTAGTTACCAGTTTTGCAACAGACTCCTCCTGATCTGTGTTTTAATTTCATAGAATACATACAGCATTATGCCATTTGTCGTTTTTCGTCCCAACATTTTCCTGGTCGTGAACAAGAGCAGTCAAATAACAACAATACAGAAGAGTGCGCAAGTTCCTCACAAAGGAATGGTACGATTCCCAACTATGGAAACCTGACATCCGAAGGTAAACCGGCTCCGTGTCTTTCTCGCGGTATTGTACCCTACAAAAGCGATTACATCAACACGAGACCTTCCCAAAGATCTTGGTACGACAGATTGCAGGTATTTCGGCCTATAACTGTTGAATGGCTTCGTAACGCGTGGGGCAATGTGGATGTGTTTGGAAACAATGTTTATGATGTCATGCAACGTTATGTCGGCCGAGTTTTGTTTTGTACGATAAGGCAGGCAACACAGGCGAAGGTCAGTCAGCCGGAAGCTGTAATCCACCTCGCAACACACTCGAGAAATCGTCGCAAGGTGATTCTAACGGAAGTGAGAAGGAGGAAAGAAGTCAAACGTACGATACTCTGAAAAGACTTCCATCTGTGGTATTGCCAACTGGATCTGGCAATGCTTTGACAACTCGAATTGCTTAACTCCATCAGAATGGGTGAAACTTCCACTTATTTAAAAGACTAAGAATTTTAAAGTTGAAGAATGAAATTGACAATCAGTTATATTTATACACCAGCGTGGAAACTGCATGCAAGTTTTCAGGTATACTTTTAGCCTCTCTCGCGATGGCGAATTTTTTCACTTTGGGAACATATTTTTTATTTTTTATCTATATATATCAGGGAATAAAATAAAAAATCACATTATTCATAAGAGGGAGGGAGTCCATGCAGTTATAGGTAAATTGGGGAGATGGGTAATATATAAGTTATATAACACCAAAGCTTTGCGGAACAGCATAATTATATTCGTGTACGTATATACATAATACATTGTTATAGGTGATATGAATAGTTTTGATTTTTGGGGGACACCCTGTGCAGGACGAGTGGGAACTGATGCTTTTCATATTCAAATGGTCGACTTGCGCTTTAGACTAATTTCTTACCTTCGAGAAAAAATGAACATTCTATGAAAGAGCTTGCTAAAATTAGTAAAACTGCCAAGTGTGGCTGTGAATTGTTATAAATTACGGAAAATATAGCCATGTGAAGTTGTCAACTTTTGTATTTTTTGTATTACGGCCGGAAGTGTGTAACTAATTTAGTTACACATTTCCACACGTAATACAAAAGTATACAAACTTTGCCAACTTCGCATTGCTATATATTTTCCGTATTTTACAAAATTTCGCACTTGCACTAATTTTAGTAAGATCTTTCTAGCTGTGATGATTTATTTTCCTCTAGTTACTTCGTTCGAAAATTAATCTAAAGCGCAAGTTGTCCATTTGCCAAGCTCATACCCAAATCCTGTAATTTGACAAATCTTGATTTAAAACTTGAATCAGTTATTTCCTTTTGAGTAAGCCCATTTTTATCATTGAAGAAATAATATGTAGCGGCATTTTTGAACAATACTGGCTTCGGGTGTTTTTATCTTGAAGTATAAGCATGACTGTCGAAATGTATTTGTAAAGAATGTAAAAGAACGAAATGTGAAAGTGATGTACATGCGTTGTGCCGTAAGAAGGAAGTCGTTGATGACGACATTACGTTGCGTTGAGCCACGGAAGTCTTCAAGTGGAATTGACACTGAAGGCGTCACGTGAAATATAATTTAGAAGCTTCCAGACGATTGGGATCAAAGTACTAGTGTATTGAGCTTTGGCCGACTGTTAAATCAAGCGTAAGTTAAACCTAACCTTTTTGATTGGAGTCCCAAATTTCAACGGATATGCTCAGTTTTATCTTTGGTGGTGGTATTATACTAATTCTTGGACCAATTTTCCACGCTGGTGCAGGTAATTTGAGTATTTTACACTAAATTAGATGTTTGCTTATATATCTCATCTTTAACTACTTATGGCAAAACAACAAAGCGGGTCAGTTCCTTTTACTATAAGCAAAACTAGATTAGGGAGGCTAACTTTAGATAAAATGTACGACAAATTGATATGATTTAGAAAAGATTTCTGCAAAAACAATTTGAAAAACTGCGTCGACTAATCATGCTATAGGGTAGGTTTCGAGTAACTTTTGGTGTTATAAAAAAGCAGAACTCTAGAGGTCTAGCTGTCTCATCAGGAATCATTAAGTGCAGGCAACTGCTTAGAATAATATTAATCTATACAATGATAATATAATAATATTAATAACTGAACAACACGTAAAGACAAATAAGCCTCACTTACACTGGCGTTTGTGAAGAAGGTCCTTTGGTTTAAACATTTAAAGTTTCCTTATTTTCCCATTTAACGTTGTTGCTCAACCGTAGCTATTTAATTTGAAGTTTTCAAAAACGTTGCCACGCTGCTTTAATTCGGGCAATATAGCTACAACATGTCTTTGAGGAATATTCTTAAGGAATGTACAGCAACCCACTCAAGTCGAAACCGCAACTTTTCTGGCCAGTCAATATCATGTTAGTTACCTCTCTGTTAATAAACACGAAGAACTGGCTTGCCCTCTGTTACTTATCTTATCAGTATGTAGTCCTTTTCCAGTCATCTCTTTCGTAGTCTTTGGCCAGTCAATTATATAATTATTATAAACCAGGGAATTGTATTATAAACTAGGTCTACTGTATCTTAATCGTAATATAAATATGATAGCCCAGCAAGAAAATACGAAAGACGGCCATAACACAAATATTTTCATGCTATTTAATAGAAGCTAACGTTTCATCTTCAAGCTGAGACGTTTTCAAAGCGAATGAAATATAATACATCTATATAGAATATGAATAATTATATATAACTATTAATTATATATAGCTATATGTCATCTGTATTATATATTCCATTCGCTTTGAAAATGTCTTAGGTTAAAGACGAAACGTTAGCTTCTATATTAAGTTGTATTGAAAAAATTGTGTTCTGGCTGTCCTTCGTTTTTTGCTGGGCTTTTATATATTATATACGATTACGATTCCCACCTGGTTCATCAATTGCAACTATGCTGTATCTTACTTATATATTGCATCTCGGCATTTTGCTGAGCATGCACATGCTGACATGCAGAGGGCGCAAAAGCAGTGAAATCGCTTTCACGTATGTTGGTCATGATCTTACCCACTTTCTGCATTCAATCTAAATTCAATTCAACTCTATTTATGTTTCTCATTTGTGAATTTATACGATTAGAGTTTCAGATAAAACATGAATAAATTGGCGAACCTTTGGCTGCCCTTGTTTTCACTTTTGTTTTCTCTGTTCTCTCGAGAGTGCTTGTAAAGTTGTATAACTAATTCATTCAGCTGGTCGGATGCCCAATATATAAACCGACCCGACAAAAGGCTGAACTTTCGTCAATCAACTACCGAGAATGCCACTGATACTGGACGAGTCCAAAATAAATCCATGCAGCACAACGAATTACAAAGAGTGAACTATATAAACCTCGTTCACTAACTTTTCAAACCTGGAACTGGGATATTTGTCAGGAACCACAAAGCAATTGCATGTGAACTGTTTAAAGAAAAAGGCTATGAATGCGATAATAGAAAATTAGGTTGGTAAAACAACAGCCCTGGCAAAATTACATATTTCAACGATTTCTCTTTTTTTTCAGGTAAATACAGTTTTCAAGACAAGAACAGGTGAAAAGTACCATTTTATGATTTTAATGAACACCATTGTGTATGGACTTTCTTCATTCTCCCTGTTGTTTTGTGCATGAACTATTAATAAGATGAAACTTTCTTGCTGCTTAAAATTATTTTTAGGGAAAGTGGATATGTAGGTGTAATATAGACACGAAGTTTACTGAGTAGATTCCTTAAAACATGAATTTGTTTTGAATTACTTGCAACAGAACTTGTATTCCTGCCGAAGCTGAGCCAATACTCAACTCGAGTTCATGTTATCCTTTGGTGAATTTCACTCGGCCTTATTGTGAAAATCAAGGAATCACGTTACCCAACTACGTGTATATGACACCTCAAAACCAATCAAAGTCGAATTTCTATGCAAACAAGGACAGGAAAAGTTTTTACAAGTTACGAAAAGCCAAAATCATCAGCTTTTTCAGTTTGGACCTGAGCAAGTTGGAAAATTGCATGCATATTTTCGATTTATTCAGATGCCATTTCTTTTTTCCGCGCTGCGATCGAACCCAAAGCGTGTATAAAGAGCAAAAGGTTTGTCGTGAAACCTGTCTCAAAGCAAGGAAGACATGTTATAAGTTGTGGAAATTTATTGAGGCTATGGTGGTGCGCCTTCACCGAGACAAGGCGTCGATAATAAAGGAAACCTTCCGCTGTGAAAGGCAGCCTTACAGAAATGCAGGTGACAGCCCTGAATGTTGGTATGATGATTTAACAAATTCCACAGGTAATACTTCGCATTGGAGCAGAGATAATTTTAAGGTTGTATTCCACAGACCTTTTTTTAAAGAAATAAGATTTAATCGTTAATTACCCTTCTAAGAATTTTTTCCAGGTGTCCAAAGTCATTAAAACCAGTGAGTATTCCGCATTAGGGTGGTGAGAATTAAGCGTCAATTAATGTACAATTAAGTTATCGTTGGATTGACGAGATGTAGTCACTGCGAACAATACAAACGTATACTGTACGCATGAAATGGCCCAAAAACGACGAAAAACGTAGAACAAAAAGTTTCGGGTACTTCTCGAGACAATTATATACAAAGACAATGGTTTTGGCGTTCTTATGGTGTTATAGCTTTTCTTTATCACTTTCTTTCAGATGAATCTTCCAACCCTAACTGGACAGCAAATTTAGGTACGTGTTAGTCGAAAGATGATTTTATGATCAGTTTACTTGGAATGTATAAGGTGTAACACACAGATTTATCAAGAACAGAGTGCATTTTATAAGTCAGAAGTGAATATGATCCGAAAAAAAATTGGATCTTGAGAAGTTTAGAGAAGCCAGAAAAATTATCAACAAACAACTATTTTTGCACAGATTGTCTATACCTAAACGGAAGCAGTTACCATGGCAACATATCAGTGACGGCTTCGGGTATTTCATGTCAGTCATGGACAGAACAATGTCCACATCGTCATACCATGAACACCACATATCCAGAATTATATAATGCCAAGAATTACTGTCGTAATCCCAAGAACTCAGGACAAAGACCTTGGTGTTTTACCACAGATAGAAACAAGAGATGGGAGTACTGCGATATCCCTAAATGTACACCAGGTACAGTCATAATATATTCCTGAATGTATGGAACCATTGATGATATAAAGGGTTATAGCAACGGAACATAAAAAAGGAAAACGTGGCAGGTTTTCAGAAAGGCTGATTGAACGTCTTTCATATTGTAGAATCATTCAAACAAAACCCGTCACTGTGTAGTATAGAATAGGAAATATAGTTTTAGGGGCTGTTTACATGAGCCCGGTTACCCGAGATTCAACGAAGCGTGAGAGGACTTTGAGGTATTGAAATAAGTCTTTATGACATCAAACAAGCACATGCTATTGTTGTGGTGATTATACGACTGCCAGGATCATGTTATCTTCTCATTTCAATACCTCAGAATCATCTCATGCTTCGTTGAATCTCGGGTAACCGGGCTCATGTAAACAGCCTCTTAGTTAGAATAGTTTTGCAGGTACACAGGTATGCAAATTACACAGTAATAAAAAATATCAAAAAATTACAACATTATTGGTACAAAAAAGTTTGCATCGAGTAATATGTAGTATTTTTTACTGTTCGACATATATAGCACTGAATGATAAGAAAACAGTTTAATTTAAGAATGATAACATGAAATTGTTCTAATAGATTGCATTAGCTTTAACATTGTACAATATTTGTGTTTATAGTTGAAGGTAACTATGGCAACTGGATATTAAAGAACGTGTGCCATGTAACTTGTGGTGAAGGTTTTGAAACGTGGACACGAAGTTGTGACAACCCTGAGCCAAAATTTGGCGGAAGAAACTGCAGTTATCTTGGAGAACCCGTGGAATACAGATCTTGTTCAGCAAGGCCTTGTCCTGGTGAGATAAATCAATACCTCCGCCAGGGGAATAGGTTGTGCATGTTGTGACCTTTGTTTGTATTCTTTTTACCTCTTTATTTCTAGTTAACGGTGGTTATGGCAACTGGAGTGTCATTATTCCTTGCAACGTTTCGTGCGGTAAAGGAGTGGAAATATGGCGACGTTATTGTGATGATCCAGAACCAAAATACGGAGGCCGCAATTGCAGTGGGCTGGGAAACTCTACGGCATTGAGAAAATGTGAAAGAAAACCATGCTCAAGTAGGAATAAATTGACCAAAGAAAATTAAACCTGTTTAATCGAGGCCACGGTAGTAATACAATGATTGGCCCGTTCCATCATTCTGCTGCATGCTAAAACGGAAAGCAAAAAAATGAACAAAAGCTAACTAGCTTTACTTTCTTGTATATTGGAATATTACTATCTTGAATATTAATAATAACTTTTCATGTCTATCCTCGGGGCAGAAATATTTTGTTTCCCTTGTCGGAAGTACAATTACATTTTTTGCCTTAGTCGACGGTAACTATGGCAATTGGACGAAAGTGTTGCCATGTAGCGTCACGTGTGGTAGAGGAGTCGAAGCCTGGATACGGATGTGTGACAATCCCCCCGGAAAATACGGTGGTAACTGTAGTAAGCTAGGACCAGACTTCGAGAACCGCCCATGCAAGAACCAACCATGTCCTGGTAAGAAGAAAGCCAGCTAAAAATGGCCAATCTTGATTAATGGAAAACTAATAAATTGAAGAATAATTAAAGACTGAAGTATACACGGCGAAACACATAAGCAAAACTTGATCTGAAAACTCCATTTTGTGAAAATAAAAATCGATATACTAGCTCAGTCTAAAATCAAATTGTGTTCTGCAAAATTTCAGGTGATTCCGAGACGATTGGTATCATTGTTGGTGTTGCAAGTTTTACATTTGTCACTGCAGCTGCCATTCTTATCTTTCTTCTACGAAAACGATGGTAAAAAAACAAGGTAAGCCTCGGCAACGTGCATTTACACCGTTCCTATTGAGAGATGAATCTCACTTCTCATGTTCGGAGTGTTCGCCTTTGTTTTCCGAGAGTGCGCTAGTAGAGTTCTGAGAAAATGCTGATGTATAAAACAATATCAAAGTCTTCAAAATTACAAACGTTAACGGATAAGACGGATTGTGTGAATCTGAATAAAACTCAGTTGTTGAAACGATCTATGTTTTCATATACTGATATACATAACTTAATGTCCTGAATTTCAATCCTCCAGGATCTGATCCATATTACGCAATTTTTCGTTTTTCCCAACATTCCTCGGGTCGTCACCATGAAGATGGCGCGAGTTCCTCACAGGAGAATAATGAAAGTGTCGAATATGGAAACCTCACAACCGAGGGTAACCCCGTTCCAGGCCTATCCCGCGGTGTTGTACTCTACCGAAGGGAATACATGAACACACGACCCTCGCAAAACTCTTTCTATCACAGACTGCAAGTATTCCGACCAATGACTGTTGAATGGCTTCGAAACGCGTGGGGGAATGTGGACGAGTTTGGCCATCATGTTTATGACGTCATGCAACGTAACATCAGACAAATTTTTCTGCCATACGATAGGTTGGGCATCATAGGGCGGAGGGAGTCTACAGAAACGGAGAGGGATAATTTAACTTACGATAGCCTGGGGAAACCTCCTGGAATGGTCGTGCCCGACCAAAATGCTTTGACCGCAGAACATACTTAAATAATAAGAATGGGAGATTCTGGCCTAAATAACAGTGAGCTTAAGCACTCAGTTCACGTGACATACAGTTCACCAATCACAAACTTTGACCCAGTCTTTTGACGTTATTCATGCCGTGTTAGAATTTCTGAAATTTAGCCCGTTTACTAATTTTCTGAACTCCAGCTTATACTCATTTAGAATTATAGGGAACCAAAATAGTGTTAAATATTCTGACCGTTCTTGATATTTTTGTGATTGAAAATCATTCTTGATATTTTTGTGATTGAAAACAAGGCGTTTGTTTATATCAGCGGCTGTAATCTGCATTTAAAGTAAACGTTTTTATATGTGTGTTTTGTGAATTCAGTTGCCGGTTATTTACCCAAGAACAAGGGCTCTTTATAACAAATATCCACAAATATGGCGGATTTCGGCTTTCAAGCTCTGCTGACGCCATTTGGTGCCTTTAATCCTTTTGGCCATGGTATTTACCACTGACTAGTGGTAATCCTAATTCTGAGCCCGCTACAGTAGCATTCTCCCCCTGGATTTTGTAAGTATATATTTTTGGCCTGACCTGCAATATAGTGTTTTTTAAGATGAATACAAGTCGTAGACGCTGTTTTTGCTAATGCGAGAACAAATATATATTAAAATGTGGACGAAACTACAGATTTTAATACTGACACTATTTATACTGACAGGTTTATTTTTTTTATTTTAATTATTATTAATTTTTTATTTTATTATATTTTATTTGATATTTTAATTATTTATACATTCCTATGTGAAATTTAACAAATGCTTGACCTTTTGGCAATATTGTCGGATATTTTGAGGACATTTTTGAGGAGGATATTTTGAGGAATTTTAATTGTTACTGAGTTACAGGCACTGAGCAGTCTGAGCTACATAATAACCACTGGGGCAGGTTGTATAAAACTCCTAACTACATTTTAAGTAGTTAAATCGTAGTTAACTAGAAAATACATTATTCTGATTGGCCAATTCTGCCACCAACTATAGTTAATTGTTATATACCCTGCACATTCGGAATTATCCGGAACGTCTTCGTGGAGTCCCAGAATGCCGTGTTAGCACGTGGCGTCACATGCAGCCTTCGTTTCGCTTTGGAGAAGAAGGAAATATGGCGCAAAACAGCAATTATTACGGCTATTCAGCCGGTGTTCAGGGCTCGCAAGTGTACGGCAATACGATGCAAAACCCACAGATGACTCAGTCGGCGTACAGTGGACAAACTACGGCCGCTTATGGCGCTCAATCGACGACACCAAGCGCCAATGCTTACGGAACCGCATCGCCACGAAGTGTCATGCCGGGGCAAAGTGCTTATACACCAACGGCCGCTTCTAACTACCAAACGACCGCTTTATCTGGAAGCTCCTACGGATATACTGCTCGAGTGCAAGATACCTCTTCTCAAAGTTACCCAACGAACGCGGCGAGCGCATATACAAGCCCTGCTCCATACTATGGCCGTGACAACTCACAACAATCGTCAGGTTACGATGCTTCGAAAGCGAACAGCTATTACAACCAACATTCAGGCACGACACCGGGCTATGGCTACGGTTCTGGGGCATCGAAATCCATGTATTCCGGCTATTCGACGCAGTCAAATGCGAACAATCAAATGGCGAACCCGAGCACGCCAAAGGCAAGTACCCAAGCGTCAGGAAATAGTAACGTTTCCTATCCTTATAAAGGCCAAACAGGCACGAACTACAACCAGAATTCGAGCTCCTATAATTCGCCTTCAAATTGGTCTGGCAACGCAGGAGGAGGCTATCAGCCTGCACAGGGCTACGATGCAGCTGTTTACAACGCTGCTTCTTCGTACTTTCAACAACAAACGCAGCCAAGGCAAAAATGGGGAGGAAATAAGAACAACAATAGCGGTAATCAGAACAATAAACCAGGTCAATCGAGGCAGAGGAACCCCCCTAGACAACAGCAAGTTCATTACTGTGATGTTTGCAAAATCAGTTGTGCTGGACCTCAGGTATTAAAAAATATATAAATATATATTCGTATCATTACTCTGGTATAGGTATACAAAATATATATAAATTTGCCCACCAAAATCCTATCAGAGCATGTGAATATTAGTTATTCATTCACTACAGTAGCTAATCTAAACCCCCTCAACCCACAAATTTTTGCAGCACTACTTCATATTGTCGCAACTTCACCCATAGCCATGGGTCGAACACTGGTGATTTTGCCAAATCATGAAATAATTGAAATTCAATGTATGAAAATCAATTTGTCTTCATCTATGAATTTCACACAGTGGTATGATTGAGATAAAGTGCTGGAATTCTGCTTTATCATAAAACCACTATTTTCCTTTACTGACAGACATTGCCAGATATTCTAGAATTTCCAAAATGATCAAAAAATTCTGACAAAAAAAAAATCACTGTCTGGGTAAAATATTAGTTGGAATATCTGAACCTATTGATTTAAACTATGTGGTGGTAATCATAGCATGTTGCTGTGCAGTTCTGCTATTTCCGTACATCAGATTAATACCAGGACTGATTTAGAGAAATGGCTTGCTTTATTATGTCGTAAATATTTGCTGGAATGTATAAAATTTCCAGGTGATTAAGACAAAAGAAATCTCCAGTTTATCAATATCCTTGTCTGAGATAAGGCAATGAAATATCAGACCTTTATATTTATCAGAGGTTATCAGAGGTTTGCAGTACAATAATGAATGCTGCTTGTTTTAAGAATTTCCCAAATATTGCATGATTGTTATGTTTCCAAACATACATCCAGTTGTGTTGCGAACAAAATTGGTCTCAAATATTTTATACATGCAAATGTTTTTTTAACAATTTATGATTTATATGTATGTAGAAAAATGTTTACCTTAGATGCCTCACATGATACTGTTAGTTTTGACTAAGCAATCTGTTTGTTTTGTGATGTTTACAGTAGCACTAAATCAATAGGTTGGCCAATTTTTATAGACATACAAGGAGCATTTGGAAGGTCAGAAACATAAGAAGAAGGAAGCAGCTCAAAAACAAATGGAGGCAGCTGGACCTGATGGTTACAGATGCAGTCTATGTGATGTGACTTGCACTGGAACTGATGCTTTTAATGCTCATCTCAAGGGAGCCAAACACTTGAAGGTTGGTTCAAAACTCTGTCATTCATACTTGTTTTGAATGATTTTATATCAAAAAGGCAAGGGTTCGAGTCCATATATAATATATTGCTGTGTTGTTTTATGATTATGGCCTGCAATCCCCCATGCAATACTAACTTCGTCCATGGAATAGGCTATTTTCATGAAATCTTTACCTGTCATTTAATGTATCAACTGATTCGTGATAGTTCAAAATGGGTTCCCAGTGATGATGGATTTCTCCTGACTGACAATGTGAGGGCAAAACAATAACTGATTTAATCTGAGGGAACTTGTTGTACTATTTGGACAAGTATTATGAAGTCATTTTACTAATGCTTACTCTTCCCCAGTTTAACATAATGCGAAAATGAGACATATACTCTTTTCGAGTTTGTGTGGGTGTAGGTTATCTTTTGATTTTGGGTGCTTGTGTGTAATTAAAATCGACCTAAAAGCATTTTCATTGGATAAAAACCCTTGCAGCTTGCCATTGCGAGTCATGCATAGTAATTCAAGCAGGGAGGATCCAAGCGCTAGCTACTATCTGCATTTAGGTACACTGTCTTGACCCCAAACAAATAAATTTTAATGCCATAGTTTTCCTATTTCAGACTGTAAAGCTTCATGAAAAGCTTGGTAAGCCAATACCAGAGGTACTTTCAGCTGAGGATCAAGATAAAGACAAGAAAAAAGATGGCATTGTTAAGACACAGACACCAAAACCTTCCTTCAGAAACAATCAACGTAGAAACAGAAAGCCGTCTGCGCCTAAAATAACATTCATTGGTGGGGCAACATTGAATTCCACACCTGGAGAAACGGCAACAACCTCTGCAGTTACCTCTGAGGCACAGGATGCTGATGTGTCGGCCACTATGCCTGACGAAGGTGGAAAAAAAGGAGACACGACTGGGTCTGAAGAAGGAAAGGATATTAAATTTGTTGGTAAGTTAACAATCCAGTAATTTACAGTGTTTTCTCTGTTCAATATGGACCATTTTTTTCTTTGGGTGTAAAATAACAGAAGCTTAACACTTTAGGATGAGGCAGTTAGGCGTGAAAGCTATAAACTGTCTCAAAACACTTATTAAA